ATACGCTTTGGTGAAAATCGCGGTCATATTATACGTGCACTGCATCTAATAGTGAAGACCACGCTCATAATTATGTGTACAGCGGAACATTTCAGGATGTCCATTCTAATATACAGTAGATGATTTCAATTGATATTTAATTAAACCACACTTCTCTCTCGTTTTGTCACGGACGGAATCGCAGCTCCTCGATTGCTCACACTTAACTTACTTCATCTCCCTCTCCTCATGATAGTCACTTTACCGTGTTCACTAGAATACTAATCGTTTGGATTGGTGGGGAAAGAAAGACATTAAACCTCTATTGAACCATACGAGTAAACGCCCTTCTGGAACTAAACAGACGATATTGGATTTCGTTGCTAATTGACGATATACACGGTCTCATGTAATCGTGGCAATACGCGCAGAGCTTGGGGTAATTTTTTGATTTGGAAGCGCAGAATTGATAGCAATCGGCTGTAATATAGGCCGAGTCCAAAATCAATCGGTTCAAGGTTGCCCTGCCAGCATATTCGTTTCCAAAGTATAAGAAAACAATAATAATAAATCAAGACATGACTGAATCTAGGACAAAGATCGTACAATTTGATAATTAAAGGGATAGTTGAGTTCTATTGCAGAGGGCGCTACACAAAATAATTTTTTGTGAGATAATGAAAAACTGAGTGTCAAATTTGAAAGAACATAATATTTATATGACAAAATCATCTTTTTTTGATCAAAATCGGTTCAGAGACGGCTGAAATATAACGATTTCTAATACTTGTGTACCACCACAAATATTAGAGATTTGAAAAAATTTGAAAAAACCGTTGAAAAAACGAAATAACGCCTTTTACGTCGTATAGCAGCCAATGCCGATGTTGGCTTATTTGTAGGCATTTTCGTATTGCTTATAAAACCCACAATTAGCCGGCTAATGTATTGTGCTTTTGCTTATAGCTATCAAAATACTAAATTATATCTGATTTAAAATGGGTCACAGCATTTTTATTTTGGTTTAGACTCAGCAGTGCATAATATACCTGACTCGGTTCTTTTGTTCGTGGTAGATATAAAAACAAAATCAATCCTGGTAGTTGCAACCATTTACTTTATCGGTCTTTATTCACGCAAACCTTTGATATGACAACTCAACGTGCCGCATTTATTAAAGAAATGTAATGACAGAAAAGAAAATATAGGCCTAGGTCATTTTTGACAACAAATTACTGTCCGATGCATTTGGTCATAATATCCTGTCCCCTTTCCCTATTAACCACCATCACGATATACTGAGGAGGAAAGAGCATTTAACTGCATCAATCATGGCCCATAGTGTTGAGATATCATTAGTTTCGAATTAGGTGTCTGACATAATAAGGACCCTATACATATAACCAGTGAAAAAAAACACTGTGGGAATACATCCGTATGTCACCTTCTGTCTTAATGAGCAATTACGTCTGTTTGTGGTTAGCTTCCATGGAAACAGATTGGATATATACTCATTAGAAAATCACGGAGTTCTGTTTATTGTGTAGTTCTTATCTTGAAGCGACGTTTCTCTCGCATGCTATTAATGATGGAAGAGCTTTCTTTTGTTAGTAAGACTGATACACTGGTAGGATGATTCCTTTAAATGCATTGTGCGCTGATAACGGCTGCCGGAGCTATAGAGCTAGGGTAATAATTTCCAAAGCTCTTTGGAAGCGCATATTTTTTAATATAATGTGATATGCGCTATACAAGAACCGAATATACTTATAAGTATTGTCTCATTGTAGACGAAGGTGTGTGTTTATAAAAAAATGTTTATAGACGTGTTTCAATCAGGGCCCCATCATACAAAGAGTTGCGATTGATTCAAATCAATCGCAAGTCCTCCAATCAATCCCAAGTTTGCTGTCTCATATCTCCAACGTATATAGTTGTGATTGATATCAATCGCAAGTAAGTTACGATTAATGTCAACTCTCTATTAGATATGATTATTTACGTCTGCGACCGACGTAAATAACCATGAAGAGAAATGGGCATATAACTTTTCAGTTTACATTAATACAGAGCTACAATACAGTATAGACAGGGTCATAGATAATAAGGGGGAATTAAAGCTTTCTATGGCAAGTTGCGTTGAAGACAAGCAGAAAGATCAGAGAAACCTATATGTGAAGTTTGAGCAGAATTGGCGGAGGCTTTTGCCCGACTATTGACCTTCTAAATCTTGAGAGCAATCGCAAATATGGACACCTTTAAAGTAAATATTCTGTCATTTTGTCATTATCATAATACTTACCAAATATATCAAAAATTAGATTAATACACCATTTCTCAGCCCGAATATGAGATGATGGTTGCTGGAATATAGTGGTAAGTAATTTTGAAATTATAATTATACCTATCAATGGTGTGCCGAATATAATAATGGCCGACGTCCACATCACAATTTTTTAGGAAGCTTTCTCTGTTGTCCTTCGTCTAAAATCAATATGTCTCCTTTTGTGCAGATTCACATCGACCTATATGTTTTATCAATACATTTAGTTTCCAGTTTCAGCTTCAGTTTTATTCGTTTTATTCACTCGTCTCACGCAGGAAGTAGGCCTAAAATTAATAAGATTTTATGAATGATCCTCGGACAATATCGTAAGGTGAATAACAAGAAATTCTGTCAAAGTTGACAGGCGTCACAAAGAAGTTAATCGTTGCTAGGATGTTCATGTCAAGTTGTTTGCTTTCAGTTGAGAGTTCAAGAAGAACCCGGAAGTGTCTTCAACTAACTGACGTATACAAACATCGCCCAATAACACTAATACAATGGTGGTGGTGATGATGATGATGATGATGATGATGATGATGATGAAAATAATAATAATGATTATCATAATAATAGTTGACAAATAAATGTTTATTATTATATTCATCATCAACATTATAAACGACATCATCATCGAAATAATACAAAGAAGAAGATAACGAACATTCTTAATGCATCGACTATATCTCTAAGTGCTTTAAGCAGGGCTCCCACTTAGCCGAGTTGGAGCCTCGAGTTGTGGCGAGCTGGCGCGATCTTATGGCAAGCAGTTTGATCATTAAAACATATTTCTTGATATCAAGAATTAAATTCTTGATATCACGAAATCGAATTCCTGATATCACGAAATCGAATTCTTGATATCAAGAATTACCTTTGCTTTACAACATAAAATTATTTCTTGATAACAAGAATTTATTCATTGATATCAATTAATAATAAAACGGCTTGCCATAAGATCGCGCCAGCTCGCCACAACTCGAGGGTTCCAACTCGGCTATAAGTGGGAGCCCTGCTTTGCAGATATACATGTAATATAACCCCGGTCATATGATTCAGGCTTGCCCGCGCACAATGAATGCACATTTCCCACTCCCTGAGGAGCATTCCAGCCAGGCGCTATTTAAAATTGCTGAGATAACTGCAATGACCGGTTACCCATTTAATGACTGGGTGAAGAGTGGCACATGTAGATTAATGCCTTGCCAGAAGACGTTAGTGGCGGGTTAGGATTCGAACCCTCAACCATTTGATTGAGAGTCAAGTGAACGAACCACTGCACCACGACACCTCTAAAAATATGATAATCACAATGGCATTGGTCATGAATATCATAGTCATTGTGATGCTTTACATTATATTTTTAAAGGTAAAGACCAGTTATGGTCATGCGATTGCATTGTGAAAGAAACGTTGTGGAATCGATCAGAAAAGGTTGATCATCTAGCATCTAGCATCTGCGAGGTTCTGGAATCATCAAAATGATAAGAAATTTGGCCCATTCTTCGTAAAGTTACAAGCACTATACACAGAAAGATGTATATGGGACTACCCTATATCTCTCACAGACCATGAGAGAAACAAATTTACCAAATATATGAATTAGTAGGCGGTTTCCCGGCAAATTTTTTATCATCATGTATTAGTCAAAACATATTCTTTCACATGATTGGTAATGAGAGCTTCCATTTCATTTTTTGAAATTGGGGCGTTTCCAATACTGGTCTTTACCTTTAAGTGCATAATGTGAAAGTGTACTCAAATCTAAAGTTCGCATCATTATTGTGGGAAAAGGCGCAAATTCCCCGATAATAAACGGATAAAGGAAATCACCCCTTCGTGGTCTTCTTTATATAGTAAACAGTACTTGATTTTAACGGATGCGGTTTATTCGTTCTCGGCTGAAAATCTGTTTTGTTAGAGCGAACTAAGTTAATATGGATTAACCTAGTTCGTTGACTACATCTTGTGCAAACCAACGTGTCAACGACCTAACTCCACACACAATAATGAAACTACAATTGACTAGTGTAATCGTGTATCCAAAAAATAAATGAAATTAATGAATTAATGATTAATGTCATTTCTTCAAGAATTTATGGTAATTAAAATTAAATTAAGAGGTTGTCATTTTATTGCTACATAAATCAGTTTACCATTTCTACTTCGAGTTCGAAACCAAGACTGAAATGATTACGCTTAAATGTTAATCGGCCAGTCGTATATTATATTATTTGCAACATAATATGAGCCTTTGGATTTACAGAGGAAACAAGTTTCACAAATTGATTGGTTTTGATTACCAATTTACCATAATGTTCTAAAAAGGAAAGTTAAGTGGATATAAGCACTAAGCTCAATATTTATAAATTGAACTGTTAAATTTATATCGTCCCTCTCTCTCTCTCTCCTATCTATATCTGTCTCTCTACCTCGCTCTTTCCCTCTGTCTGTCTGTCTCTGTCTCTCTCTCTCTCTCTCTCTACCCCCCCCCCTCTCTCTCTCTCTCTCTCTCTACCCCCCCCCCCCTCTCTCTCTCTCTCTCTCAAACACACACACACACACACAAACACTTCCTATCCGTCTCCTTCCCTTGACGTCTGTTTTTTGTCATCGTATGACTCGGAAGAATATTTCAAACGTCATATGCAAAAGAAAATGATGATGTACAAAATGCTGTATACTACACATAACTTACCGATGGTGGTAATGGTCGTCATACTGAATAGCATAGCGCTGCTGAGATTCCAGGTTCGACCTACTAGCAGAGAATCCATCCTTCCAATCGTCATTCCAGAACGTACCATCTTCTTCATCACGACATCAAACTGTTCATCCATCTCTTCCACCATAGCGTCATCATCACAAGCTTCACTGCTTTCGTAAGGCGTCCCTTTGCCAGCACCCTTCGTGCTAGAGGAACTCGTCCGACCAATCGCATCTTGAGGAGGAAGGGGCGTGGACCCTGAAGGGGTGCAAGTTGTTCTATTGATGGCGATCCCCCTCATCTTCACCTTGGCTTCATCAAGCTCCCTGTAGCATTCGAGGGAGCAGCTGTTTTCCAGCGTGGAGAAGACCCACGCCCCGAAGCCCAGGTACACGAAAAGTACACCCAAGAGCACTAGGTGCGGGATGACGGCCCGGACAACTTTCTTCACCGCGCCCAGGATGGTGTGTCTCTCTTTGAGCTTGGTGATCTCCTCGGACTCGTTCTCCCTGTTCGTATTCTGCCGACGAGATCGTCTGGTGGTCATTTCCCGGCTCATGGCACTCATGGGCATGTCTGACATCTCCGGCTGTAACATCTTGGTGGTAGCTGGGGTTCTCCCACTGGTTGATATGCCTTTGGGGTCTCCTGCAGCGACGTCTGTTGTTATAGTGTACGCAGCTCGTTCTTTATCTCTGTAGTATATAATAATGATAACAATTGATGATGAAGATGAAGTTGATGATCATGATACAAAAAATTAAAATAAAGAACTCTATATGTATGCTGCATAAAACTTCAAATGGTAATTAATCCTTCTACTAACCTTGAAAAATAGTAGGCAAGATTCCATCAACTTATAATATAGAAAAGCCAAGTGATTCTTTACATAGTTTCTTGCTGTCTGCTGCCTCGAGATCACTGGAGCAACGATAGGTGATAGTGAATAACCAGAGTCCCTATTCAGTGGAAGGATTTATCTTAAATTGTATAATCCCATCCGGCAGTCTGGACATAACAATGGACGGGACGATGCCCCTATTATAGATATTGACTTGAACAAAAAAAAAAAACACTTTGGGTCAAGAAAGTTAAAAGAATAGATTAATCCTTCACTGAGTAGAGTAAGTTATTCACTGTCAGGTTTAGATTCGCACGAAGACAATGGACGTCCTTTTAATGCACTGCCTTGAATGGAAGTCACACGTATCAGTCCACGCAAATCTAAAAGTCCCTATTGTCTCTATCTTCACTCCAGTGATCTCGAGGCAGCACACAGCAGGAATATGACTTGTGTGAAGATTCCCTTGTATTGAGAAAGTCCACATGTCTGAGTGGATGAAAGCTTATCTACTTACTTTTCAAGTTGGTAGAAGTCTAAATTACATTATTATGCTGATGATTAAGGAACGGATCTCCAGGAAATGTATTTTGTGTGTTTCGAAATTCAGAATGTATAGGTGAGGCAAACCCTCGACAAGTTAATTAGGCTTCAAGAAAAAGTGTTTATATAAATGCAAACTACAATTCAAATTCAGTATCAAATGATATTAAGTTTAAGAGAAACATAAACATGCATGTAGACGATGAATTTAAAAAAAAAATCGTCATTAATATAACTATCTAAAATAATAGGGTTAGCCATAAATCAACTCACAAAGCCGCAATACATGTTAGTAAGTACATAATGACAGTGCATAATGTTGTGTAAGGGTTAAAGTGAAATGATTATCCTCACTCACACACAGACAATGGTATTCTGGTTGTCACGTGATCACAACAAAAATGCAGACAACACGTCAAGCGAGGTCAAGCGAGGTCAAGGCCTGTGTAAACAAAGATTTGAAGAAAGAAAAAAAAAACATATATAATATATAATCAATAAACACTTGAAAGAGTAACGCCTAAAATTGTATTCATCGCGACGGTATTGTGGTCACGATAATGAAGTTATGTATATATTGATTTAAAACGAAATTGTACAGAGTTTAGAGCGGACACACGGCGGTACTGGCCTCCCATTTGATACCAGGTGGATGCATGGTACCTACGTCGTATATGAACCAATGCATTTTGTAGAAAATGCTTGTATGGTAATAGTAAAACATACAACAATTTAGAATCCACAAGATTACCTCAGATATCTCTACTAAGTGTTTCTTACACAATAGTCTTTGAATTTGAAAAACAAATTAGGATACTTCATGCATGCTTGGCAAAACCAATGTTTAACATTTTAGATCACTTCCAAAAACAAAAGTGTTTTTGTTAACCATAGCCTGCAGCTATTGTATTTTGAAATATGAAATAACTATTAGGCTACTTTTTGTTGAAACTCAATAAAACACTAAATTAATTCAGTATAACAGTAAAGCGAAAAGTGAGGGTTAAAAAAATATTTTGTAAAATGTTTTTTTTCCCTTTTTCCTGAAATGTAGAGAAACAGGATATCATAAAAATTGATTGCCTTTAGGCGAAGTGTAATTGTTTCTTTTAGATAATGTTTATTTTTCAAAAATTTTGTTTAACATTGTAACACTTTGAATACTATTCTCCTCCAATAATAATATTTTAGGATATAGCATTTCAATAACGACAAATCTATATACCGTATATGGATCACAGTTTATATTTGGGCGTTTGTCTGCTGATTTTCTTTAAAAATAATTCTCTCATAAAAATGTTGAAATTGTAACTTTGTTCCCACTGATTCAAGCTCCATGTGTTTACTTTTGAAATAGTGATGATTATACTTAGTTTGTTGATAATATTATATCTTATTAATATTATCTTTGTATGTATTCTCGTAAGCTTTATGTAGTAATTATTTTAATATTGCTATTATATCTCACGTGCTGCTATTGTAAACTGAATGTCATTCAGCTCTCGGGCTGCTATTTTCGGTTCGTGTAATAAACCATTCAATAAATAAATAAATAGACAGTTTGAAAGTGATACATCTCAAGTACTTCATAATCATTTATTACTTTCGAAATCCCCGATTGAATTGCCTTGTAAGTACTTAATAGTTAAGTGCAGGATTAATGGTTATAATAATGTTATGTTTAAGGTACAATGTATTTTATCGCTATTGTAGTGCTATAAGAATTGTATAACATATACATGTCAGTTTAGAAAGAATGGAAAGTGTGCCAGTTTGAATACTGATACCAGTGAAAGTGTATAAATTAAGTAATCAGTTTATACACACGTAATTAATTACACAATGCTTTACGTCTTATAATTAATGTGTAAAATAGATTTGTCTTCAAATATGAAAATACACGTTTCGAGTGTTTGATGTAAATTCATATTTTAAAGCTATCATCAGAACATAATCGCTATCATGATTATGCAATTTGAGCGACATAGATGATTACGCCATAAACTCTCGACGGTTAAGTAGGCTTAAAGTTTAAAATAACATGAACATTAATTCATCTTCAATCACGTGAACAGTTTGAGGGCCCGGAGAAAGAGGAAACTTGAGGTACTTGAGATCGAAATTGTATTGTGTCCCTATATACCTAAGTACACACTTAAGACTGCTCCCGACCTATAAACCATTGTTTGTTTAATAATACATGGTTATACATGTATTATCGTAATTCTTTACAAAGCAGCAAGATACTTAGACCGAAATGACTCAGATATCGACGGATGTTCCGCTGAGACTACATCTGGCTCCACTATGAGGGAATGTTGTAAAATAAATGTCAGTTTTATTTAAGATTTCCCCATACCTGCCTACAATTTACTCTACATAGACGGTAGTGAAAATCCACTCTTTCAGGACTCATTTGGGTTTGGAGTGGAATTCTACATTCTACATAGTGGAATCCACTATCAGAAAAGTAGTCATTTAAATTTTTAGAGTGAATTCAACTCCAAAACTGAGCGATGGCATCCCTGGTATCAAAATTATGATGACTAATGAAAGAGTAGAGTTCGACTACCCTTAATAAAGTGAGTACGCTACATTTGGGGAAACATTCGTGGTTGTCAGATTGCAGTGGAAAATTCCAAAAATCATATGACGTAACAATAGACACATGTCGCCGTGTTCCGCGGGGGCGAACATTTAAGCATGTACAGATGTGGAGAAAAAATGATCACAACGTCAATAATGACATTTGTGGTTTTATTAGGTTAACCGGTTATGATAATGCATTATAAAGTGGCGTCAAAAGGCAATGGTACAAGTTCGAATTGTTTTTATTATGGTGTAAAGTCAATTAAAAATAGATCTGTCCCAGTCAGGTCATTTCCTGTACATCATGTATACGTTGAAATAAGATAATTCTAGGCGTCAAAGTTTTGGGATTCATTTCCGCATGTTCCTAAAAGGTGACATTAGAGAGCCATTTATATCATTGATTTCAAAGTGGCTGAAGTGTAATGAATTGTTGTTAAATACAAAGAAATGTGAATTTATGCTATTTGGGTCAAAGAAAAAGTTATCATATTTTCAAAGAGCTCATGTTTTTATCGATGTAAAGTATTTAAAACGGGTTGATGAATGTAAATATCCAGAGGTTTCATGGTAACACCTTCTTTAAGTTTGGACGCCCATACTGCATCTGAGAAGGAAAATATAATTTGTAATTTACATTGTTTGAAAAGAATTAGGCCTTTTGTGAACAAGAAAACTGTTGTCATATTGTAAAAAGTACTCTTTCAACCTCATTTTGATTACTGTTTCATCGTATGGTATAATGCTGGTATAATTTTAATCAAACAGTTACAAGTATTACAAAATCGGGCTTTATGCATTGTTCTGAAAGTTGATACCAGATTTAGCTCCCAGCTTTTATATACATATTTCGACACTGAACGCCTTGAATTACATTGGATCGTACAAGCTGTATGTTTTGTTTTTAAATTATTGCACGAATTCTGACCGCATTCGTTATGCTCCAGAATTCATTTGAAAGAAAACGTATCCTATGTACATTCGTAAACCAAAAACAAATTGTAATCGATTGTGTAGGATTTATGCCAGTACCAAGTTATTTAATCATTATTGCCATGTCTGTTTTTTCACGTGCTGAACAAGATTTAAAAAAAAAATGATTAGAGAACTTGCGATTGATTAGGATCAATCGCAATTCTTTATAAGACGGGGTTCCGATAACCAAATGATATTGACATCAAAATTGCCATTTCGCTTCCTACTTAGTTTTATGGGACCTTTAATAGATAACAGCCATTTATTTATTTATTTATTTATTTATTATTTATTCGGCAATTCACAACAAAATATAAGAATGTAAATATGAGTAAACAAATATTAAGAGAATGTCAATTATAAATGCACAGTCTTCCTGGAGGTCCTCTGAGTGCATCAGTTGGCTGCCAGGGAAGAAGAAAGCCATTGAATTAATACAATGGTAAGATATACTAAAATCTGTTAAGTGCTAAGTAACGTATGTAGTATGATAGCTTGCATTTACCTATATAATTATGGACACAAGTGTTATTCACTGGATGTTGATGCTTTGAATGCAATCATAAATCACACTTGATAATTAGCTGCTTCAAAATAAGTTTGATAGAGGCGATAATATTGCTTCATCAGAAACCTATTTTTTTAATCAATTTCTTATATTTTATGAGATATGTGAATTTGGTTCGCAGTCACAACTGAAGTATGGCCAAAACAAATATTACAGAAATTGTGCAAACCTCAAACAAACCCAAACAGAATGAAAATCGCTCTTTAAATAAAACCGAGAGATGATTATATCATTTTTTTAAAGATATTATTCATTTTGTGACTGTGTTCATTTGAAACATTTTGTAACTCTTTTCATTTGAAATTTATATACAGTCGGGGAAATTTTAATTTCTAAACACAAACTTTTGATTACAGACGTACTAATCATTTTTAAATCAATGCATATTGGTCTGTTTCCGTCTGTAGTCTGAATTTCCGATGTTAGTGGTTGTCATACTCTTTTTTGTTACATTCACGGAGTCAATTCCCATGTGAATTAAACGAATCGATTGTAGTATGTCTACAACTCTTTATTGTGAAATTGAACAAAAACAAATTCATAAAAACAGGCAAATATTTATCTTCACAGCCAGCAGAAAATGGGGTTCAAAGGGCCCTATAAACCCCATATTTTGTGGCAAACGGCTAAACTATAGGAACTTTAATTTAATTGAACCCTCTCTTATAAAATCTTTTCCTCGACGCCTCGCTGATACTACTTCACAGCAAAATGCAGCCATTTGCAGCACTGAACACCGCACTCGGTTAAAACACTTGCAGAGAATTAAATAAGTAATGTGTTTTTTGAATACTCACCTAGCCATGATTTCGCAGAATATAACGGTATTATAGCTGAAACTATCGAAATTAATTGGGCTTTCAAGGAAAATTTGGAGCACTGTTGAGAGTGTGCACGCCTTGGGAAATGTGTGAAGTTCTCCTTCGGGTTGTGTCGAAGTCCGATGTACCGTCTATAGCCGCAATCAGTCTTTAGTTGGCTGTCGAGTTGGAACAAACAGAATAAATGAACACTTCACAGAAATTAATTGCCAATTTAGCACACGATGGAGACGGACAGTGAAAACACTACAAGAGCACTGAGAATCTGGACACTCGAAAATACCATTTAAGGCTGGACGAGTTACAAAAGCAGATATAATGCCGTAGTTCGAACTTTTTGCATGTCATGCCAATGACATGAGGCTGTGATGTTTAGAGTTGATACGAGCTTTGTATATCTTGTGAACGGATATGTGAGTGCCCTTTTCCTTCCTCTGTTTTTGGAGTATTGAATGGCGTATAGCGTGAATTTGGTCAATGAGAGGGCAGGGGCGGCCGGGGCGCTGGATGGAGGAATGGAATGCAAAGTAGCGGAGCTATCGAGGGAAAGGTGAAAGTAATACAGGGATCGTGTCATCTTCTTCTATTCTTTCTTCCCCCATTTTCGTCTCTCTTGTGATCTCTTTCTCTCTCCCTCTTTCTCTCTCTCTCTCTTTCTCTCTCGCTTTCTTCTTCTTCTTCTCCTTCTTCTTGTTTTTCTTCTTGTTCTCCCTTCCCTTTTCTTTATGAAATTATTATCATATCATTATTCTAGTGATCCTCAAAGGGCTATGCAGCATATCACGAAGATGAACTGAAGATAGCAAGAGGTGTGAGGAAGATAAATGAGGTTTAATAGGATAAGTGCATTATATGCCTCAGGAGGAGTCTCTGTATAGGTTCTCTGGACTGTCAGCATGCAGGCACTACTGTTGCTGGAAGGCTATTCTATTCTAAGATAGAGTGTTAGGCTTACTCAGTCGCTTCTGGCTTTCAATCTCTCTTTGTCTTTCTTTGTCTCTCCCTGTCTGACATATCTCTATCTCTCTCTCTCTCTCTCTCTCTCTCTCTTTCTCCCTATCTCCCTCCTTTTATTTCTCCTTTCTTTTGCAAGTCAATGGGGGTGAACCTGAAGTTAAAGGTAAAGACCAGTATTGGAAACGCCCCAATTTCAAAAAATGAAATGGAAGCTCTCATTACCAATCATGTGAAAGAATATGTTTTGACTAATACATGATGACAAAAAAATTTGCCGGGAAACCGCCTACTAATTCATATATTTGGTAAATTTGTTTCTCTCATGGTCTGTGAGAGATATAGGGTAGTCCCATATACATCTTTCTGTGTATAGTGCTTGTAACTTTACGAAGAATGGGTTAAATTTCTTATCATTTTGAAGATTCCAGAACCTTGCAGATGCTAGATGTTAGATGATCGACCTTTTCTGATCGATTCCACAACGTTTCTTTCACAATGCATCGCATGACCATAACTGGTCTTTACATTTAAAGGAACTGGGTATATAACATGGATAACATTCATGTTTTTAAATGTTTTTGTATCTAATGATCTAATCCTACGGTAGCACAAGGGTGTTAAAAGAATTGAAGAAAACAAAGTTATTTATTTATTTCTGATATTTAGACAGGGTGACTCATTATCACAAATTGTGGTGGTCTTCCATGAGGCCCTGTTAAACAGAATGAGGAACAATAGTTTAAAGATATATATATAATAATAATAATAACAAAGTCAGGGAGTGGAAAATGTGCACACATAGGCCCGAATTCACAAAGGAGGTTTGTCGTCAAACCTTGGTTTTCGTACGTCATATGACGCGTTTTACGCGTTTTTTACAAACCTGGTTTGTAAAGAACAAAAGGAGGTTTGGCGAAACAAAAGGAGGTTTGAGCTCAAACCTTGGTCTGAGCTCAAACCTTGCTTTGTGAATTCGGGCCATTGTGTGCGGGTAAGCCTGAATCCGATGACCGGGGTAATAATATATCTGTAAAGCGCTAAGGCACATCGTTGGATCGGTGTATTGAGCGCTATATAAAAAACCGGATTATTATTATTATTAACATATATTCATAAAAGCAATAAAGAATAAGTAAGAACATGACTTGTATAAACATAATACATAACGTATTTGGTACCCTCGTAATGAATGAATGGTTTGTTTGCATAATCATCTTAAAGGGAGGCTTTACTACTTCAGCAAGAAGGGATTAGACCACCCAGTGAGCCATCGAGGTCACTGTGACAGGTGGCTATCTCATTAACTCAGCTCTCATTTAACATAAGAAAAAGAGGATCATGGGGGACCAACAGGCACCGATTTGGGAAGTTTTCTATATAGAGGGAGCAAGTAGCTACAAGTAGGACAATGTGCCTTTAAAAATGAACGAATCGAATCGGAAGCTTGTATGTACAAGCATAATGAACCAGGAACATTTCCAGGCAATATATCATCAGTACTTGGAAATGATTAGGGCTATAGCTCGCAAGACAATGACTTATAAAATAAACAGCTCAAAAAAATGTATGACTCCGTGATTTACACCAATATTACCGTGATAACCATAACACACTTCAACGCTGTTATCTACCTCTGCATACACAGTAAAAATGGCAATAAAATAACATAAGGGTAAACAATCGGCATCATAATTTTCAGAGAATTGATTTATCATGCATGTTAATTGATAGGCTGTGCAATATAGGTACAGTTCCCGTGTGATGATAATATCAATAGCCAAAATATACTATATACTTGAGTGTAAATTTAACAATCGTATAGTTTTACTTTTTTTTAAACTATAGATAAATAGATATATAAATAAATACATAGATAAATACATAAATAAACGAATGATAGAATACGGTACTTTATATCCACTTCTTTGTGTATGTTTGATTGTTTATCTAGTTTTTTTTTTAAGCATTTATTCACAGAAGCTTCATCCACAGGCAATCGTATGCATGCATGGCTGAACAATAATAAAGAAAATGGTTAATTGTATGATGCAAAATTATGGGAGCAGAGTCCATAAGATACGAGATTCCGGAATCGCTCGTTTCGCTAGGCTACTGAAAGTAATCAATAAACGAGTCATAAAAGATAATCATTGATTTTGTGAATTTTCTACAAATCAATCCAGAAATAATTGTGTATTCTTGATGGAATGAATCAGATATACAAAACGCGTAACACATTGAAACTTCGATAGAATTGACAAAAGAGAAAGTTGAACAGTCTGTGTCTAAGAAGCCGATATTTAATAAGGTTAGGCTACGAGAGTTAGAAATATGAAATGTTATTTGTCATAATTATGCCAAAAAATGTCTTTCGCATTGAGTACTGTTTTACTACTTTGTATTTTTGTATTTTATTAACATTTATTTCCTTCTCAACAGCACAATATAAAACACAATGTATATATACATGATATGTGTAACAATTATTTCAACATAGAGTATACAGTAAATAATTCAGATATGGAAGGAGGCGAAAACCCGGAAAGCATAGGAAAACAAACAAAACGAAGTAAAAACCGGAAGAAAAGAATTAATACATGGCCTACTTACCCAGGGTTGCGTCTGGTACTAATAAATGCAATGCAATGCAATTCTAGGTTTCAGCAAGGATTCAAGGAATGTTCACTTAATTAATGCTATGGCTATCCCGGATGGCTATATATCGCTGACGACAGTCGAAGGCGGTAAACTCATCTTTTCCACATTTTGCATACTCAAAAGAAATTCCGACATTGACAACATTAGATGAGGATCGTTTAATTGCGGGTGTCCGGTGTCCAAACGACGTTTCATCAGTGCGGTTGCAATCACAGATTTGCAATACTGGAGCGATGGAGTAAACTGGTTTGATGCTGGTGTCTGAGCTCTCTCTCTCTCTGACACGGCCAGTAGAGGGCCGTTCACCCTAAATGTTCCCGCTTCGTTCTGTCTTTTTTCTTATAGTCTGCTGCGTATGTCTACTGAAGATGTATGGATGGTGGCGCGCGTGGCGACTAGACTGGATACATTATGTATGCGTGGATGCATGGATGCGCTGGAGGGAAGCACTCGCGATCGAGGAGTCGGCAAATTAACGAGTTGGCACTTGAAATCATTGTATCCCGCATTGTATCGGAGGGATCGCTATTCCAGATCTTTAGCATATTTGGCTTGGCATTTAATTGCAGCCAGGCACCTTTCATTTTTAACGGTTTAATCCACTCAATCATTCTTTTTGACGGATCGTTGCGAAGGGATGCAGTGAGGGATAGTTGTGATGGAAATAGGCTATGCCGAACAGGCGCGGATCCAGGATTTTCCAATAGGGGGGGGGGGGGGGGGGGGGGGGGGGGGGGGGGGGGGGGGGGCCGGAAATTCCCAAATTGCGCAGACCGTTTTTTCAAGGTCATATTAGAAGCACCATACCGGTACAATTTTTGACATTTTCATCGGGGGGGGGGGGGGGGGGGGGGGGCTATAGCCTCTTGCCCGAAAAAGTAATATTCTGGTTTCACAATTCGGCTAGTGAGCGAGCAACAATTTGACCATAATATTGTGAAAGTGTTATTCATCACCAAAATAAACGAGAAAAGATTTTTTTTTTTTTTAAACTCATATTCGGGCAGCTCGCTGCCCCCCCCCCCCCCCCATTACGCGCGAAGCGCGGAAGCTTTGACCTTTCATTAATTATTAGAGAAAGAAGACGATTTGTTTTACCGTTCTCGACTCGTATTCCTGGTCTGAATTCAGTTTTTCCCCTCCCGCGCGAAGCGCGGAAGCTTTGACGTTTCATTAAATTATTAGAGAAAGAAAACTATTCGTTGTACCGTTCTAAACTCTTAATCCTTGTCTGAATTCAGTTTTCCCCCTCCCGCGCGAAGCGCAGAAGCTTTGACGTTTCATTAAATTATTAGAGAAAGAAGACGATTTGTTGTACCATTCTCGACTCGTATTCCTTGTCTGAATTCAGTTTTTTCCCCTCCCGCGCGAAGCGCGGAAGCTTTGACGTTTCATTAAATTATTAGAGAAAGAAAACTATTCGTTGTACCGTTCTAAACTCTTGATCCTTATCTGAATTCAGTTTTCCCCCTCCCGCGCGAAGCGCAGAAGCTTTGACGTTTCATTAAATTTTTAGAGAAAGAAGACGATTTGTTGTACCATTCTCGACTCGTATTCCTTGTCTGAATTCAGTTTTCTCCCCTCCCGCGCAAAGCGTGAAAGCTTTGACCTTTTATAGTTTAAATTGAAATTATTAGAGAAAGATGATTCGTTGTACCGTTCTAGACTCTTAATCCTTGTCTGGATTCAGTTTTCCCCCTCCCGCGCGAAGCGCGGAAGCTTTGACGTTTCATTAAATTATTAGAGAAGGAAGACGATTTGTTGTACCATTTTCGACTCGTATTCCTTGTCTGAATTCAGTTTTCCCCTCCCGCGCGAAGCGTGGAAGCTTTGACGTTTCATTAAATTATTAGAGAAAGAAAATTATTCGTTGTACCGTTCTAAACTCTTAATCCTTGTCTGGATTCAGTTTTCCCCCTCCCGCGCGAAACGCGGAAGCTTTGACGTTTCATTAAATTATTAGAGAAAGAAGACGATTTGTTGTACCATTCTCGACTCGTATTCCTTGTCTGAATTCAGTTTTCCCCCAACCGCGCAAAGCGCGGAACCTTTGACCATTTATAGTTTAAATTGAAATTATTAGAGAATGATGATTCGTTGTACCGTTCTAGACTCTTAATCCTTGTCTGAATTGAGCCCCCCCCCCCACCTCCCGCGCAAAGCGCGGAAGCTTTGACGTTTCATTAAATTATTAGGGAAAGAAGACGATTCGTTGTACCATTCTCGACTCTTAATCCTTGTCTGAATTCAGGTTCCTCCCGCCCGCGCAAAGCGCGGAAGCTTTGACATTTTCATTAATTATTAGAGAAAGAAGATTTGTTGTACCATTCTCGACTCTTATAACTTGACTAAATTCAGCCCCCCCCCCGCCCTCCCGCGCGAAGCACGGAAGCTTTGGCCTTTCATAGTTTAATGAAATTATTAGAGAAAGAAGATGATACGTTGTTTCATTCTCGACTCTTAATCCTTGTCTGAATTCAGCTCCCCCCTCCTGCGCTTTGCGCGGAAGCTTAACATTTCATTAAATTATTAGAGAAAGAATATAATTCGTTGTACTGTCATCGACTCTTTATCCTTGTCTGAAATGAGTCCCCCCCCCCCCCCCCCCCCTCCCGCGCAAAGCGCGAAAGCTTTGACGTTTCATTAAATTATTAGAGAAAGAAGACGATTCGTTGTACCGTTCTCGACTCTTAATCCTTGTCTGAATTGAGTCCCCTCCCCCCCCCCCCTCCCGCGCAAAGCGCGGAAGCTTTGACGTTTCATTGAATTATAAGGGAAAGGAGACGATTATTTTTACCATTCTCGACTCCTTGTCTAAATTCAGTTTTCACCTGCCCGTGCGTAGCGCGTAAGCTTTGACGGTTCATTAAATTATTAGAGGAAGAAGACGAATCGTTGTACCATTCTCGTCTCTTAATCTTTGTTTGAATTCAGTTTTCTTTCTCCCGCGCGAAGCGCGGAAACTTTGACGTTTCATTAAATTATTAGAGAAAGAAGATGATTCGTTGTTCCATTCTCGACTCTAAATCCTTGTCTGATTTCAGTTTTCCCGGCCCGCGCGTAGCGCGTAAATTTCTGACGTTTCATTAAACTATTAGACAAAGACGACAATTCGTTTTACCATTCTCGACTTCCCAATCCTTGTCTGAATTCAGTTGGCCCCCTCCCGAGAGATGCGCGGAAGCTTTGACATTTCATTAAATTATTAGAGAAAGAAGACGATTCGTTGTACCGTTCTCGACTTGTCAAAATTTTCAAAAATGTATCTTTGTCTGCTCCTTTTTCGTCTTATGTCATCTTACTGCCCCTACCGTCCCTGGCTACGCGCCTGCTTTAAAGGGAAATGAAACAATCATGATTGTGATGGCACACAATTAGGTTAGTGTAAATGAAATGGAAAAAAGATCTATTACACCAACCATGGATAAATCACGACCGGGAGCGTCATAGTTTTGTGTTATCGGGCGAGGGCCGCGGCCGGCCTGGGCGTAGCGACCAAGCGAGATTTTTTCAATGTTGAATGCTGAAATTATGCATTCTAGAAAATCCCTGAGCCCAATACGTACGTTCTTTCCGCTATATTTCTTTCTAGCTATATTTCTAAATTTCCTGGGGGACGTGTCCCCCTAACGGACCCAGGATTGCCGCCCCTGTCCATGATTACTACCAACATGAGTTTAAATACAAGCACAAGCGAGTTGGAATAGCTGAATCCAAATGAAGGGCAAAATAAGAGTTGTGAAGCGGCCCTACCGTTAATTTAAAATTTGACTGTTGAGTATATAACTTCTATTTAAAAGACACCCAAATATTGTGCCCTTTCAAATTTCTCACTTCAGAGTGATGACCTTTGTAGCGCAGGGGCTGTTCTTAATGTTTAACTTTGAATCCGCGGCTCGAGATTTTATGCGGCCGGCCCGGCCCCCCTCTATTCAATAATTTCGTTATCTTTTCTCTTCTCTTTTCCTTTCTCTTCTTTTTTCCTTTCTCTCCTCCTTTCTTTTCTCTTCTCCTTTTTTCCTCCTCTTCTCCTTTCTTTTTTTTCTCTTCTTTTCTTCCTTTTTTCTGCGCCGCCAATAGGGGGGGGGGCCGCGGCCGTTTCGGCCCCCCCCCCCTGGATCCGCCACTGCCGAATATAGTTGGAAACAAGACAGTTTGTTGTTCCGATTTTTTTCGAAATAATGGGAAGAGGGTTTGATTACCTTTGATTTTTTTTTCTCAAGTAATATAACAAGTGGTGTCAAATCCGATTGATGTACTCCGGAAATTGTCACTTTATAATATTCAGAGACAGTGTCATAAATGCACAGTATGTACCTTATAATTCTCTTTCCTTGTATATCATTATAACGTGTAAATGACAAATTATGAACGCAGTTAGAAAAGGCCCATCCGCATTTCTCTGCCAGTAGTCCCTTTTTTTCTTCCTCATTTCGGCAATTACTGCAGTCATGTCTTCCTCCCACCCCCCCCCCCCCCAACGTCTTTTGTTCCATCTGGATCTCTTCTGCATCTCTTTTTTCATTTCTATCTTCCCTCCATTCTCCCGCCTTCCCTCTCTAGCCCCCCCCCCCCCACATTCTCTCTCTCTCTCCCCCCCTCTCTCTCTCTCTCTCTCTCTCTCTCTCTTCCCTCTTTCCCGCACGTTTCCCCATCACATACGCCTTCACCTGTTTTTTTCCGCCTGATTGATCCTGTCTGCGCTCTTCGTCACACATTATAATCACACGTCAAATATCTAGCTTACTGGCACTTCATCCAATACCAAGAAAGTATCACCATTGGCAGTATATTCCAGAATCCAATGATAAAGTGGTAGATCCAGGGGGGTTACCTAATGTACATACATCTTTTTTTTCTATAAGTGGCACAACATTTTGTTTGTGTGCCAAAACATTGGACCAGGCAAAATTATGCCGTTTTCATCTGTTTTTTTTTTTGTTTCTTTGTTTTTTTGTGTTTTTGTTTGTTTGTTGTGTATTGATTTTGTTGCTGTAGGCAAAATATTTAGGAATTTTGTCCCCACTCTCCCACCCGGAAGAGAACCCCGGATACGCCCATGATGCAATTGTTTCAGAATCCTAATGGACCGACCATCAAATTCATTTAAAAAATATACCATGAAAGTCTCACAACACAAACACTGAGTCTTAGCATGGCCCTAGCTAGATCCATGGTCCGAGTCTCCCATATACCGTCAGAGATGAAATGGCTACGGACAATCATAAACTTTCACCCTGCACAACATTGCACTGGAACACTTTGTTTAAAAATCAAAATGTCATGGCACTTTATTGAAGTAGCATTTTATTGCAGTATCATATCATTGAACTCTTTCTAAAAAGTCAAAGAATGTGAGGATTATTTCAAAATTGAAGAAGAAGTTTAACATACAAATAGCATTCATGTTGGGAAACAATGATGTTTTTAAGTACTTTTGAATTAGAAAAATGGAACAAGAAAATACAAGATGAATTACTTTAAACTCTTTTTTTTTCCATCTACCTGAGTAATTGTTTAACAGAACAAAACAATTAATAAACTTCTGTAATTCTTTTGCAACCGCTGCATAATTATAAAATAAAATGACACATGAGCTGGTAAAATTGTATGCAATTACCATACATAAGCTTTAAACCATTTTAACAAAGTAATAAGATTTCCATTAACAAACCACATGAAATTTGAAAACTTACTTGAGACAAACTTTCTAACAGGCCTGAATAACAAACAAAACTGAAGCTGAATTTATGACACTTACGTAAATTCAAACATTTATTTTCCTATTAAATCCAACTTAAATAAAAGAACCATTGTATCTCAAACACACTTTTGAAAACTGGAAGACATTGGATCGATATAATCTATGCAATATTCACATAGAACTCACAGAAAAGAATCCTTTTCAAGTATGAAATCAACCTTTTATTTTGTACAAATTTCACCGATATACAAATAGAATAGAATTTAAACCCCATATTCCTGTTGTTGAACTGCAGACGACAAAGAAATACTGAAAGTAAAATTTAAATAAAATGGAATATAAAGATATTGATTTATATCACAAATGAACAAATGGAACAAATATATTCAACATTTGTAAAATTATGGAAGAATGAAGAAAGAAAAACATAAGCGTGAAATGTTTACTTTAAATGAGCAATTCATCTGCGTAAAAGGTAAAGAATAGAAAAGATTAATGCACATGAAGCAGAACAAAATAAAGCAAAACTTATTCTATCATGTATTACAAGCAGTTATAATGTAGGAAATGTGCACCAAAAATATATCTACCCCTTAACCAATTCTTTATTCCTTTATTTTTCACACTTCATTTCGTCTCTAATATGCAGTCATCCTAATCATATTGCTTTAATATTCAAGGCACATGAACAATCCACAGCCGAGTTGAGGGTGGATGAAAAGATTGAGGTTGTTTTAAAATACATATCCTCATTCTGGCTCAAATTCCCAACATAAGTGCAATAACATAAACATTTAATCATTCTTCAAAATGTCTATTAATGTAGGCTGGTAAACTTAACAAATCAAACAATCTACAACATTTCAGAAAGACAGGATGTTCAAAGAGACAAACAACACAGCCCCCCCCCCCCTAACAACCACCACCACCAATTCAGGGGAGGGGGGCGGGGCTCAGCCCCTATTTATCAATTTTTGGTTACCCTCTGTGCCACAGGCCAAGTGACGACCTATAATTTACATACTTTTTACAGAGAACATTAAATTTTGAGGGTTTTCAAAGCTCAGTGATAATTGAGATTGAGCACAGGCTCAGCAATTATCACTCAGAACAATTCTTTACTGATAAGATAATCTTTACTGACAAGATAATCTTTACTCTTTAACAGAAAAACTAAATCTTTACAGAGAAGTATGTTTAAACGATGAGAATTAATGGAGAGTCTTTTCCCTCCATTCCCCCCCCCCTTTTTTTTTTGGGGGGGGGGTTTACATTGAGAGATTTATGAACTCCTATACAAAATCCATTCCAATATGATATTGCACTTATTCAGCTGACATAAAGAGATTGTAATAATCAACGCTGAAAATGTATTTTATAATGTAGCACTTGGGACGACAATCAATTTCAAGGGATTTATCTTTTAGTTTTATAAGGTCATCTTCTATTTTTTTGTTATTTACAATCTCTTCTACATGTATTACAGAATTAACTATTGATGCCTTTCGAGATACAGACGGTGAAATGGATTATGCAAAGAAGGCCTGATATTTAGTCTTTCAGATGATTTCTAAAGGTATTTTCAGTTTGTTTTGTTTTGCTTTGCAAACATATTCAATGTCTGACTAACAACTGTTACATTGGCCTTTACAGGACACCATAAAATAAAGATGGAGACACAACCTTAAGGAGCCAGGTAAAAAGAGTGCAACAACCCACATGAAATGAAACATTTAACACATATCACCCTGTATGGGCAGTCTACGAAAATTAAAAATTAAAGCAGAACATATTTGGAAGCATTTCATCTTGCATAATTTCTTCTGATCTCTATTCACACAACTTTGTATGAGTTACAAGGTCAAAGGTCACTTTTCTGGTGAACTACTCTTACAGAGACATAGCCATCTTCCAATACTTCAACTAGATAAGAAAAAGTTCACATATAATTTCTACATAAAGAATCTCTGAGGTTGAAACATGAAAGCCCATTTTTGGAAGCAATCGGATCTGTTTTGTTACCAGAGCGTCCACGGAGGCCTGTGAAGGTGTGAGTATGGAATGCCGGTTGTGTTGACTGGAATGGCTATCTCAATGGGACCCTTGTGTTCCATGAGGTAATGTTCAAGCATATTTCTGCATTGGGTGAAAGATTATCATATTGAATAAATTATAATCATATTTAAAGGTAATGAAAAGTTTTGAGAAATTTTGAAAATTGGATGGATAGTACAAGCTAAAGTTATATCAATCTTGAGAGGGAGCTGTACAACATAAAGAATTCATTATTTACAATTTCATCACTTCAGACTCAACCGCGGCAATGATCATTGAATATTGTAAAATTGCATATACATGTAGCTTCCAATAAGGTCATTTGACCCAAATTCATGCCCCCAAACCAAAACTTTGTATTAACTTTTAGCCTCCTCCACACATGAAACACCACCTCAAAAAAAGAGGGAAATGTTGAGGCAAAATGGAAATAACATGACCACAGCTCGCTTAACATTCTTGTAAATTATACAACTAAGGCAAGCTAGAATGCATGGAAGCCCATCTTTTACATGTCTAATTCCTTTGATCTACACATAAATTTTCCCAGCTTACAGTGACAGTGACACTCATTTAGTTCTTCCCATGGGTAGAGAATATATTTTGAATATGAAACAACTTCTCGGTTTAAAAGTTTCCCTGGATACTCTTGTACAGGATCATGAATGAAGAAGTGTGAATCGAGGCTGACACATACATTCAGATCAACAACAAAGTGGTAAGAGCAACTAGAGGGAACAGCAAATATATCCGGAGGGTACTGATAAAAGAAAGATGTGTACAAGTACTCATTCTTCCACAGGAGAGCAGCAGAATGGAACCTACTCAAGGAGGAAACAGTTATGTCTACCTCCAGTGTAGTCTTCAAGCAGAAATCTCAAATGTGTAACATCTCTCCTGCGGTCCTGCTATAGCACATACACAACCATACTAATCAAAACATTAGTTAAGTACAGTACATCCTAAGTATACCGACGCAAACAAAACAGAAACAGGATAAGAGAGCCAACTGTAACAACAATGTGATTAATCGTTACTTTGTACATAAGGGATAGGGGACGGCAAACTTCCGCTTGATTAGAGGACTTGCAATCGATGTTGATCGATCTTTAGTATAAATATGTAAATATACTGGTGAATATCCATAATAAATAGACCATTTTCGGAATGTATATATGTTTAGCTAGCAATGGGCTATTACATTCACCTGTTACATATCATCGTACCTCCATAGTCAGAATGCAAATTGCATTGGTGCTAGGTCGGACAAACATTAAACAACAGGCGCTGACACCAGGTAATGTACATGCGGTTCCATGCTGACTATTGAAATATAATAATTCATATAAAAAGATATTCCTAACGAGCCACCTAAAAAAGACAGACATTGAAAGTGTTTACATTACAAAATCATGAATGTAGCTCATGCTGCAATGATAATTATAAACCTTTAGGTCAGTCAGGAACCCCACAACTTTTACAAGATATTTATGATTGGAAATTGAAACCAAATCTTGTGTTTTCTTAACAGTTTTCATACCACTACAGTCTATTGGAGAATACGAGTACGGTAAAAACCGGTCACTCAAAGATTTTTACTTTTTGAGGCACTTTTTTATCATTTTGAAGCGCAATTTTTTTAGGGCTTCAATATTACACCATACCACAGACACTGATAACACGTAGGGCAGTGCATCTCAGATTTAACATTGTTGAACAATGCCTTTAAAGCTTGATTTAACGTGTTTGACTACCCGTATAAACTTACCCATCTCTTCCCTGCATGAAAGCCACAGGAATACTCGTAGACCGTTTTGTATCATCGTCAATCATGTCGATGAATCTGTAATCATTTTTCTCATCAGAATCAAAGATAATCAGCATCAATGCACCAGCTCTGTCGGCGACAATACTTTTGGATAAAAATGAGCACTCCCTGCAAGAAAAGGGGAAAATGAATTTTATTTAGTAACCATGGAAACCAATGTATTAAGACAAGAAGTACTAGATCCCTAAAATGTTTAAGGATGATGCTGCAAAAATTTGCTTAAGGATTACAAAATTGCTATAAATGATAAATTAACAGGACCAAAATACCACATGGAGGACTAATTCAAAGCCTGAAATTCAACTTTCGGTCATCGAATGATTCGTTTCAATTTGAATAAATCTGAGTAACTTTTTTCTTTAAATGAATAAGATATTTATAATTGAAAATGATTTACCAGTCAGAGTGATCAAAACTACACTTCAGAAGTATTTTTGTGATAAATAATTGAATAACATATAGAGATACAAACTTTGCAACTTAATGCACTCTTGCAAACATAACATTTCAAAGAAGAATAATATATAAGAGAAAGGTAGGCTTCTTCATGACCAGGAAATGCAAGAAGAATGGGACAATTAGGAGGAAAATTTATCATAAGAGATAAGTTGGCTAATATGTCACTGTAATTGTCTACTCTTTAGTAGTTTGGTAACATTGACTGCATGCATGAGAACACTATGGTAAATAACTTTTAAATGCACGGAATCTCCAAAACCAGTGAATAAATGGTACATGTTAAGAAGAGCTTACCCTCGTTTTACAAGAGCGACAGCTCCTCTGGTTTCCTCTGCATTCTGGATCTCTCCACACGCTTCTATAGGATCAGCAGCAACCAGCTGAATTCCATTGTAGAAGAAATTCTAGAGCGAAAAATACCATGTTTGCAATATATTAGCAACAGTAAAATTGACCCATTGCCTACAATACACGTTGATATCTCATGGTGGAAGCGTCATGGTCCCGGCCCCCCCACTCAGTGTTATTTAGGGTACGCATATGCGTGTTCCAACCGACCCCCCCTTTTCAGCAAAAGTCCGGTGTGTAAAGTCAATACGGCTCGACCTTTTTCTTTTGTATACGAGCCTTTTTCAGCATCCCCCCCTTTTTAGCAAAAGTCCGGTGTGTAAAGTCAATACGGCTCGACCTTTTTCTTTTGTTACGAAAAGGACATTTTGGCAACACGCATGCGGTCATTTTGAAACCTGAGTGGGGGGGCCGGGGTCATGGTGCAATGGTTCTGACTCTCGTCTTTCAATCGTAAGGTCGTGAGTCCGAATCTTACTCCAGGACATTGATTTCGTTCAGCAAGAAATTCATCTACATTGTGCTGCACTCCACCCAGGTGAAGTACCTGGTAGGAATTTATTCCTTGAAACGCAGAGCCCGTGACAGCTGCTCTCCTAAAGCCAGGGTAATTATGCCGCATTATTGTAGAGCGCTTAGAGACTTCTGATAAAGTAAGTGTTAGGCACTTTATATAAGTACATATAATTATTAAATATTATTACTGATGTTTGAGCATCATGTCACGTGTTATGTATTAAATAACACGTAGGGTCATATTCTACTCAAATTTAAATTTGACGCTGGGCTTAAAGTGTACCAATCACTGTCAAATACAATTTGCCACAGTTACTATACACCTAAAATATAGAAAGTCAAAATCAAAAGACTTATCCCAACATTTATGGGCCAACGTATAAGGAGTATGAAGAAAATAAAGACTAAAATACATTCTGCTAAACATGGTAAAAAGTACTATGATTGTAGACTTGTCACATCAAATCATTTTTGTTGTATACATGTTTGAAAACTAGATGGCACCATAAGATGCATATATAGACCATACTTTTCATTCAATCATAACGATGCTTAATGATGATCTGGTTTTGTAAATATTTTCTTCCTCTCACTGTTTCTTTGTATATAATGCAGGTACTTACAAATATTCCTCCAAAGTTCTTGGCAGGCCTGATGGTGAAATCATAAGCAATGTGGCTTGGTTTCAGCACCCTAAATACCAAATTTTCATTCACTCCGTGTCCTGAAAATTAATTGAAAGAGGTCAAGACAATGAAGTAAAAAAAAAAAAAGTACATGTAGATTTTAGCTGTGTTTACAAAATAGAAATCTAGACCCCTATCTGATTAAATTAAAGCTACATGTATGTTACAAAGTTATAAAAAAAGTCAAATTTCTGCTGGCTCAATGCATCCATCAATCTACATGTACATCTATTGCCAATGGGCAATGATTATCTCGAATTGAGATAAATTAAAAACACATATCAATCACTACATTCGTCTTGCAATAAATATTAAATTACTTTACGATAATAGCAATTATTTCAGTGGGCAAAAGCGCACGCACCGAGTCCATTGAATTTAGGGAAATCTCTGCTGCATGCGCCTTTTTACACTACTCGCTATAGTTATAAAGTAGGGATCAAATTGGCAACACTAAATCAGCGATTTTTCGCGTATACTGCATGTATTCACATGATGTAGGCCTACATGTATGTTGCGTTTGCGGCAGAAGTGAGAACCACCATCGCGAACTCTCACCACAGGCAAAAGTCAGCATTTTCATAATGTAAATTGCATGTTACTGCGTTATAAGCCGTTAGCTCATTATCATCAGGAACATGTGGAAGGTAAGCAAAGCAGTATTAGAGCTACTCGAGTAAAAAATGTCCACAGTTTGGGTTAAATTCGACCCATTTAACGTTAGACATTTTAGTCTAGGCTAGTCTAATAAATATTCATTTTAAAGTTATTTGTATGAGAAAAAGAGGCATTCAATGTACACTTTCAAAATAGCTTTGGCCCTTATATTACCTCGTTAACCATGCCATCCTACTTCTACTAGTTCTGGCCCTCAGCCACTCCTACAATGCATGAAGTCTAACCGGACTAGAGCAGAGTTTAGAGGCTCACGCTCCGTGTTCGCTCCCCTGCCCTACCGGTCAACACTGCGTAAGGTATAGGCAGTCCCATATGCTTAAAATGATGTTTCTAGACCGATTTTAGATTTCGGACAATCTCAAGTTGATAATATTACGACATGCCGTAAATAAAGAATTCAAACTTACCAAAAACTCTGCCTGTCAAATTTAAACACCAAAATATTACACAAATAACTTTCCAATCCGCTGGAAATGCCCTCATCTTCACTGTTCTTAACTCAAAAAATACAAAAGTTCACACAGTCACAGAGGTTCAAATCGCAGCAACCAGATACTCGATATCGATATTTTGGGAAAGAAATTTCCAGAATAAGAAATATGCAGCCCTTGTGACGTGTATAAGAATGCAGACGAAAAGAGAAAGAGAGGAGAGTTAGAGAGAAGAAATTAAAGACCAATGCACGGCTATACACATAATGTTTTCTTTATATGATTTTATTTTAGGGGTGCATGGGGATCGACTTATCATTCTATGTTTATTTCTTTGTTTTTCTGTTTGTTTATGTTGTTCATTTGTTTTGAGAGTGGGGGGGGGGGAGGGGTACGTGGGGGGGGGGGGGGGGGGGGGGGGGGGGGGGACTATATAATCAGTTTTCTGAATATATTTTTTAATATCATGGGCCTCATTTTTAGTTTTTGTTTATGGTATATCTTGTCAAGTATGTTGAATGCCTTTTATCATGAAACTATTCTTACGTGAATATATAAACAAAGCAACCGTTGATGTATATATAGAAGACCGTGAGGCGCGGATCCAGGATTTCTTAGGGGGGGGGGGGGGCCCAAATTTGAAATTATGCGAGCCAAATATTGGTACGTAATGGTGACCAACAGTGACGTAATGCGGGGGGGGGGGTCGGTGCCGGGAGGGGCGAGTTTTCCCCACCCTCCTCCACGAAACGCGGAAGCTTTGACGTTTCATTAAATTATTAGAGAAAGAAGACGATTCGTTGTAGAGTTCTCGAATCTTAATCCTTGTCTAAATTCAGTCTCCCCCTCCTCCCCCTCCTGCGCGAAGCGCGGAAGCTTTGACGTTTCATTAAACTATTAAAGAAAGAAGACGATTCGTTGTACCGTTCTCGACTCTTAATCCTCGTCTGAATTTAGTTTTTCCCCCGTTCCACGCGAATTTTACGTTTTATTAAATTATTAGAGAAAGAAGACGATTCATTGGAGAGTTCTCGACTCTTAATCCTTGTCTAAATTCAGTCCCCCCCCCCCCCTCCTCCCCCTCCTGCGCGAAGCGCGGAAGCTCTGACGTTTCATTAAACTATTAAAGAAAGAAGACGATTCGTTGTACCGTTCTCGACTCTTAATCCTCGTCTGAATTTAGTTTTTCCCCTTCCGCGCGAATTTTACGTTTTATTAAATTATTAGAGAAAGACGATTCATTGGAGAGTTCTCGACTCTTAATCCTTGTCTAAATTCAGCCCCCCTCTCCCTCCTGCGCGAAGCGCGCAAGCTTCGACGTTTCATTAAACTATTAAAGAAAGAAAACGATTCGTTGTACCGTTCTCGACTCTCAATCCTCGTCTGAATTTAGTTTTTCCCCTTCCGCGCGAACCGCGGAAAATTTTACGTTTTATTAAATTATTAGAGAAAGAAGACGATTTGTTGTAAAGTTCTTGACTCTTCATCCTCGTCTGAATTCAGGTTCCCCCTTCCCGAGCGAAGCGCGGAAGCTTTGACGTTTCATTAAACTATTAAAGAAAGAATACGATTCGTTGTAGAGTTCTCGACTCTTAATCCTCGTCTGAATTCAGCCCCCCCCTCCCGCGGAAGCTTTTCATTAAATCATTACAGAAAGAAGACGATTAGTTGTACCGTTCTCGACTCTTAATCCTCGTCCGAATTCAGGTCCCCCCCCCCCTCCCGAGCCAAGCGCGGAAGCTTTTACGTTTCATTAAATCATTAGAGAAAGAAGACGATTCGTTGTACCGTTCTCGATTCTTAATCCTTGTCTGAATTCAGCCCTCCCCCCCCCCTCCCCTCCTGCGCGAAGCTTTGACGTTTCATTAAATTATTAGAGAAAGAAGACGATGCGTTGTCCTCTTCCGATTTGGGGGGACCGCCCCCCCCCCCCCCCCCCCCCCTGGCTACGCGCCTGCGGTCAGATAAACACATTTTGATAACTTGTCCGGCCCCGGTTTAGGCGTTTAATTAAGGTCAGATGATCATTTTTTTTTTTAATACCTATTATTTTGTGAAACTGGCAGGTCACTATTTGGGGAGCGGATCCCCCCCCCCCCCCCCAAAGAGGGGTTTTAGGCATTAAATTACCGTCAGATGAGCATCTAAGGGCCCGTCGTAGCACCCTAGGTGGAATCCAGGGGGCAGAACCCCCGGAAGCTTAGGGGTTTTAGGCATTTAATCACGGTCAGATGAGCATATTTTGATGCCTCATTTTTTAACACTGGCAGTTAACTATTCTTTCTTTCTTGATCTCATTCTATTTTTTTTCTCTTTAATATACTTTTTCAAATAAAGTGGGGGGGGGGGGGAGGGAGCTCGAGGCTCCCGATCCCTGCCGTACCTCGGGTTCTGACATGTAGGAATCTCAAGAATCATATTTCGTGCCTGGCTGCCGTGTAAATTTAGGAATTTGTCATTTTCCAACAAACACATATACAAACGTTTAATTTACTGGAAAATGAGGACAAATCTGGGAAATTATGTCATTTCAGCATTATTTGTAATCCACCGTTGTGGAATTAGAAATAAACCACGTTTGAATTTGATTTCTCCAAAGCACCCCCCCCCCTATTAGTACGCCAGTATCTCCTCTTTTCCTTTATTCTTTCCCTTTCCTTCCTTCTCTCCTATTTTTTTTATTGGGGGGGGGGGGGGGGGTCAACAGCCTGGGAGGCAAGGCCCTTTCGAACCCCCCCCCCCCCGATTTCCTTCTTCCCCCTTTTCTTTTCTTCTTCTTCTTCTTCTTTCTTTCCCTTTCTCTCCTCTTTCCCTTTCCCTTCTTTTCCTTTCTTCTCTCTCTTTTTTTTTTTGCGGGGGGGGGGGGGGGGGCCAAGGCCCGCTCGGCCCCCCCCCCCCTGGATCCGCGCCTGTAGAAGACTATAGAATTGATATAGAAAAGGCTACTTTGTAAGATGAAAATGGAATACGAAACATTGACTTTTTCTTTTGGGATTGCTCTCATTACTTCACTAGATTTTGTCCTATTCCCACAATCTCAATCTTTTTTCTTCCTCCTTTCCCTTACTCTCTCTAATGTCACGGCTCCCCGGCCTGCTCTTCTTCTCTCACGAATATCCCACTTTTTTTTATCATTCTGGTGTTTTTTTTAAAAGTTACTCGATGATCTTCGTTTTCTCTTTAAGCTGCTCTCTCTCTCTCTCTCTCTCTCTCTCTCTCTCTCTCTTCCTTCCTTTTCTCGAGAATACCAATCGAAGAGATGAGATGGATCGAGGGGCCGGGTGGGAGACTTGAAGAGGGAGATCGAGAGAGAGGCTGGAGAGAGAGAGAGAGAGAGGCTGGAGAGAGAGAGAGAGAGAGAGAGAGAGAGAGACTAGGAAAAGGAGAGAGTGAGAGAGAGATGGGGTTGAGGAATTCTCTCTCTCTCTCTCTCTCTCTCTCTCTCTCTCTCTCTCTCTCCCTCCCTCCTCTCTCTATCTCCCTATCTCCCTCCCTCCCTCCCTCCCTCCCCCTCCCTCGATTTCTCTTCATCGTTCGTTCTTTCCGCTTATGTCAGTATCTTTCACAAATCCTTTCACATGAACAGAACATCTCTCTGACCCTCTCCCGTACACCCCTCCCATAAGTTTTACTTTTATGTAGATGGAGGCTCCAACATGTCCACTCTGACCAAAATTCCTCCTGTATCTATTATCAGGGGCGGCGGAGTGTCTTTCAAAGTGGGGTGCATCAACTAAAAAAGACACTTTATTGAGAAAAAAGGTGGTACCTACAAAGGGTAACCTCAAAGCAGGAAAAACATGTAGACATTGGTATACTATAATACCTTACATTGTGTGGTCTTCAACATGTTCTCTTTGCGTGATCCAAGATACTGCTTCAGCGCCATACTTTGCGGTTGTGTGCAATTGTCTGAATATTCATTTGCGAGAGAGCGAGGCGTCTTATTCCAAAGGAAAAGGGGCAACTATCAGATATGGTTAGGGTCAATTGGAGGTGGAAAGGGGCATTTTTATGAGGGGAAGGGGCACTTATTGCAAAAGGAAAATTGGCACTTCTGAGAAATGACAAGGAAACTTATTAGAAAGTAAAAGGGACATTTACCAAAGGTGAAAAGGGGCGCTTCTCAGAACCAAAAAGGGGCAATCATAAGAGGTAAAAACAGAGCACTAATAACAACAAAGGGAAAGGGGCACTGGTAAGAAGGGGGATGGGAAATCATTCTTAAGGAAAAGGGTTATTTGTAAAAGTAAAAGGGGCACTTATCCTATATAAAAAGGGGAACTTTTGAGGTACTTGAAAAAGTTGTGGTACTGTTCTCCCCTGCCCCTCCCCCTGAGATGCACAGCCTTTGTCTATCATGGCTATACTGAACTCTAGCTTGATCATTTCAATTTTAACTTTTCTGTAATACTCTCACCATTCTACCTCTTTGCAGACAAATGTATAAGAAAAGCCTGTTTACTTCTATGTTCATGCTGCAAAAGGAAACTTAACCCAAACCACACAAAAAGCTCAAATCCACTTTCATTGAAGAACCAATTTACTCAGTAACCCATTGTCTAATGGAACCAGGTTGTTCCTATATTAAACCCAATGTAAGGATTCAGTAGCAAATGGGTTACTATACAGCAACAACATACCAGTTGCTGGCAAAGTGATTGAGAAATGTAGGGAGACTGAGAAAGAATAGACGGAGAGGGAGAGGGAGAGAGAGAGAGAAAGAGGGGAATTGAATGAAAGTATAAGAGAAAAATATTGAGAGGGAAAGTGAGAAAAAGAGAGATGTATCGCAAGACAGATAGAGATCGAGAGAGAGAGAAAGAGGAAGGAAAGTAAAAAGATGGAAACTAAACCACATTCACTCTGTATGTCTCTTAGAAACATACATAAGTTCAAACAAGAAAGATAAAACAAGGCAAACAAACGTTTCAGTTTACATTAGTTTGTTTTAATAGTCTTCATGATTGTGGTAATAGCTAGCAGCATACTATTAACAAGCATAGAGTACAGGTACAAAGTTAAAAATTCATAAAACCGGACCTTTAGGGGTGAAAATATCAATGAGCGAATGTTTCAGTACCAGTAAAAGTACAACCACAAAAAAAATAGATTT